CCACCACCACCCGGCTCAAAGTTTATTCTTTCACTGACTTTTTTACACTATCTCTGAACTCTCTGCTCCTTAATGAGATACCGGGCATAATCTGTGTATGGTAGATTTCATTGTCTCTTCAGGCACACACTGTCTAGTCTAGCCTGAAATTATACATCCAGCCCCATGTGATAACAGACTGAAGCGGAGTGTCTCATCTAGCTGAAGGCTTTCTCTCTGTTCTCACTAGGCTCTGAGACTGCCAGGGAGGAGATGTACAGGTTGGGTCTCTCGCTTTGCTTTCTTCGGCTACTCAGAGCTGAGGCCTGGGGACCTTCCAGGACTGGCACAGAGAAGGGGGTGGGGTGCATAAGACAATCTTTCCATGCCTGGCTAATGTCCAAAGTCATCTCTTCTTTATTTGCCTTCCAGCTATCTTTTTGGTGGCTCCTGTCTCTAGTTTCCCCCTTGCAAGAATGGCTTCTTAGTTTCCTGGCCTTTTATGGCTGCCAGCAACAGCCCTGTGACTTGTGGCTATTTGCACCTCTTTTTGTGGCCACAGTCTCCTGTGGATGTCTCTCTTCGAGAGGACCCTAAACTAGGTCAAAGGAAGCACATTTTGTTTTAAGAAACCTGGAGGATAATGACAATTTTATTTGGTCACTCTCTAGACATTCCTTCTCTCACATGGCTTAGAGCAAGAGGAAGTGGCCCCTCTCTATCCAAAACAATTCTTACACCAAGCTCTTCAGTCCTTCTAGAGTTCTTTGCCCTCCCTGAGGAGCCAAGATGGCTGCCTGTTGGTCTATTGTTGAGACCAGTTTCATCATTTTCTTCCCACAGAAAGGCCACCAAACATTCAACTTGGGATATGAGTACCTGGTTTGCTGTGTGTCTTTATGGCTTCTGAACCCATGAAACTTCTGACCAGTATTCTTTTACCAGGAACAATTAAAGAACTTGTGGATCCTGGTACAGGGGGAAAGTGCAAGACTCCTTGTCCAAATTATCATGTTTCAAGAAGAGGTTGAGTATGATAACACATGCTGCAATCTCATAAAGAGACAGAGGCAGGAAGGGTTTTGAGTTTAGTGCTGGCCCAAGCTACATAGTGAGACTTGTCTCAAAAAAGGGCAATACCCACCTGGCTCGCAGGGATTCAAACAGACTCATCTGGGCATCAGCACCTGGATTAACCGTGCTACCTGGGCAAAGGCTGTGGAAACCACCAGAGAAGTGATTTCCCCACCCACCCACCTCTGACTCTACAGCAACAGCTGAATGAACAAGAACTGGATGCTTAACAGAGTCAAAGAAGTTGACTAGGTCCCCGAGAACCTTTGAATTTTTCAAAAAAATTTGAAAGGGACGCCAATCCAGATCTAGGAGACATTTAGAACACCAAACAGATGAGACTGGAAAAGAATTCCTCCTGTCATATTATAATTCAACTACTAAGTATACGGAACAAAGAAAATACATTGAAAATGCCCGAGAAGCCTCCAGTCACATACAAAGGCAGGCCTGTCAGAATAACAGATTTCTCCATAGGAACTTTAAAAGCCAGGAGAGCTTGTAATAATATATTTCAAGTCTTAAAAGGTATCTACTGCCAACACAGACTGTGATCCCCATCAAAGTCACCTGTCATTGAAGGAGAAATAAAAACTTTCCACTATTAAAATATGCTAAAGGAATTCATGACTATTAACTCAGCTTAACAGAAAATACTTGAAGAAATCCCTCAGATTGGAGAGAAAGCCAAATATATCCATGGGGCCACAGGAAAGAATCAACTTCTTGAATGATAACAGTTAAGCAAGACAGGAATAAGAAAGCACCAATTGCAACAAAATCAACAAAATTTGCCAGGAACTGGTGCACACGTCTCAATTTCCCATAAAAGACGGATTAATGCTATTTTAGGGCAACACCACGGGAAGAGGTGTTCTAAGTGAATTCATCTTTGAAACAAGCAAGTGTCATTTTTCCCCCTAATATCATCAAAATAGATTCAGAGGCCATTTCCCAATGATTGAGGGAGCAATCCTCAAGAGGACATTTCAATTCTGAACTGCACAGAACACAGGGACGCCCAGATATACTAGATACAAAGGCATAGATTAATCCTAATACAGCCAGAGTGGGTGACATTAATACCCCACACAATAGACAGTCACCCTAACAAAAACAAAGCATCTGAGTAAGATGGCACATAGATCAAATGGGTCAGTGGATCTGGCAGATAGCTATGGGACATTCCATCTGAACCTAGCAGATAGACTTTCTTCCCAGTAGCCTAGTGGGTCATATGTTAGAACACAAAACAAATCTTAATACATATAGGAAAACTGGAAAAATTCGTTGTTTTCTATATGGATACAACAGAATAAAATTAAAATTCAATAGCTAAAGAAACTACAAAACAAACACAAACTCTTGGAAATTAACTAGCATACCACTGAATAATGAATGGATCAGAGAAGAAATCAATAAAAAAATTAAAAAGATCTTAGAATTAAAATGAAGATACAACATAGCAAAACTTATGGGATACAATGAAAGCAGTTCTAAGAGGACAATTTATATACATGGAAAAACCATGGGCACCTCAATATACCTTAGGTTTCTAGAAAAATAAAAACAAAACAAACCCAAAATCAGTAGACAGGAAGAAATAATTAAGATCATGACAGAAATTAGTGCAATAAAAATTTAAAAAAAATTTTTTCATTATAACAAAATTTTCATTATAATAATAAGATTTTATAAACAGAGAGTTGGTTCTTTGAGAAGATAAACAAGATTGACCAACTCTTAGTCAAACTAATGAAAAGAAAGAGGAGACCAAATCAACATTTAGAAATGAAAGGGAAGTGTTAACAAATACTAATGAAATGCAATAAGTTATTAGTACACACCTTAAAAACATATTCCACTGAACTGGAATCCAAAAGAAGTGAATGAATATGGATGTATATGACCTATCAAAAACTAAACCAAAAGGAGATAAACAATCCAATCTATCTGTAATAAGCAGTGAGAATGAAGAAGGGATAAACATTTTTCCTGGCCCCGATGGATTCACAGGTAGATTCTCCCAGACCTTCAGAGAATTAACACCAATACTTCCCAAACTATTTCATGGTACAGGAAAAAAAGGGACACCATTAAACTCTCTCTACAAAACCAGTATTATCTTAATATCAAAACCAGACAGAGACACAACAAAAAAGAAAACTATAAGTCAGTCTTCCTGATGAACACAGACCCGTGAATTCACAGTCACTGTGATTGCCTTCGCAAGACTGACACAAGATCTGGTCTGCCAATATTCTAGTAAGGACATGAGAGGGGCTCAAGAGGCCCCACCCCTCCATGAGGACTTAAAGGGAGTTAATGCCTGCTGGGGGGTGCTCCTGAGGGACCCTTCTCTGAGGATCTATGGGTAGTTAACGGTTGTTGGTGTAGACACTGGCAAGCTGACCATATCTCTGTAGACAACTCTTTATCCATGCTTCTGTGAGCAACCCTAATTAAAGTAATTCACACACACACACACACACACACACACACACACACACACACACACACACGAAAGTTGAAGGTGACTGCTTAGAAAGAGGACAGGGATCTGCTAGGATGGAAGTTGGGCAAGAGAGGATAGTGGGGTGAATATGATCAAAACACACATACATACATGAAGTATCATAATGAAGTCCATTGTTATATATAATTCATATGTACTAATATAAATAAAACTAAAAAATTAGACCAAGAAGACAAAGACAAACCAACAATAGCCACAAAAGAATTTTAAGATAGTGACAGCAGAGCATAAACTCAGCTGCCTTCTGAGTACTTGTAAGTGGCTTGTCTCTTATGTCTAAGGTCTAATTACAGGACAGCAGCAATCATAAATGCTTTGATAGTAGCAATACCACTGAAGGCTTATTTAAACAACATAACCCAAACCACACCACTCATGATAAAGGTTACTCCTATTACATTTTAAAATTAAAAAGCGAGAATATTAGTCACCATTAAAATATTATTATTATAATGTACACACCCTAGATTCTAGGAATTCTTGTGTCCTAGAGCTGCCACATTTAAAAGGATCACTGTATCATTAGTCAGGAGGATGGGACAGTCTAGCTTTGCTGATTGAGAATCTTTGATTGACTCTTGCCATGCACATAGCTTTTCATGAATACCAGAATTAAGAACCAACATCTCAAGTGATGAGCTACTAACCGGTAGCTCTTGGCTTCTGTAATAATTAAAGGTTTGAATTTTGTGTTAGTCAACTGTGAGAATTAGAGAACGGGCTGGCATTTAGGATTACTCACCTGGAGACCCTGTTGCTGTTCTCTGCTTCTTGGTGGATGTGGGGGACCCGGAGTCTCGCTCATCTCTATCATTACTGAGAGTAGGGGGTTACTATGACTTCCACTGGGGTCAGGGGTACAGGTGCCAGTGATGCTTGCAGTTGAGACAGACCTTACACTGGGACAGGACTTGGTTTAACAAAGGAGCTCTTTGGTCAGACAGAGGGAGAGGCGGGGCTGTACCTGTCAGGGAGTTCCTCCAGCAGCAAGGGGGTGTGGAAGCCGTGTGTGCTTCCATAGTGCAGAGATGGGTCCTGGAAGGGGGAGAGCCAACCTGTAGTCCTCTGGAATGGGGTCGTCTGTGTGGAGGGGTCATGGACGAACCTGGGCAAAGGGAGAAGCCAAGCCATCAGGGGGTATCAAATGCCTACAAAGCCATTCTCAGGAAATAAGTGTGATGTCAACTCTAATTTCTGCCCCCCATCCTGTGGACTAAGAGAGCAAGTCCTCACACTGCTCCTGCTGGCTCTGATCCTGCTAGGTATTATGTGGCAGAGCAGAGGTTGGGGGCAGCCAGAGACTACACACCTTAACATTCACAGTCCCTGTGAGGATGCAGGGACGTGTCCCTGGATGAGGATTAAAGTACTGACAAAAATATTTAATGGAATCCTTAGAACAATCAAGTTTAGAATACACGAGACATGAAGAGGACTGTTACCTCTATGTGAACAGAGAGGTCTCATGCCTTCCTGAGGGGCAGCCAGAGATTAGAAGTTCTACATCACACACGGGACAGCATTGACTCTTGCTTTACTCTGATTTGTTGACGAGCCAAACATGGTTAATCCATTTTTAGTGTTATCATAATATTTTCACACATTAATGAATTCAATAACGACTTGTAAGATACCTCTCTGGATTAGAGTCTAAGTAACGCCCCCCACCCCCACACACACACAACACATTCTTCCGTGGCTCACCATTACCATCATAATAAAAGTTACACAGCACTGCAAGGGGAAAGAATCATTTTTCCCCTCTTGCCTGGTCTGCCTCAGCACACGAGGCTGCAAATA